TGCTCTCAATTAGCTCGGGAGTTCATGCCATTTCCCATTCCTGGGGTCCATTTATCCCTTAGAGTCATTCATGATTTCTAGTTTCCTTGGGGTAGAGGATTATAGGCTGGTAAACCTTTGCTCTATGTCTAAAAATCATATATGAGTGAGTACATACCATGTTTGTCTTTTTGTGATTGGGTTACCTCACTCAGGATGGTTTCTTCTAGTTCCATCCATTTGCCTGCGAATTTCAAGATTCCATTGCTTTTTTCTGCTGTGTAGTACTCCATTGTATAAATGTACCACATTTTCTCTTTCCATTCGCCACTTTGCTTTTCTAATCTTCCACTTTAACCCCAATATCTGTCTCTGGGTTTTTATTATTAATAACCATTCTCCTTCATTTCAAGACCTCTTTTTATCTTGGAAACAGAAACTCTGTGCCCATAAAACAATGACTTTATTACCCTTACTCCAGGCCCTCGATACCACTATTTTAGTTTGTAGCTCTATAGCTTTACCTTCTCTACATACCTCACATGAGTGGAACAACATTTGCCTTTCTCTGACAGGATAGCATTCTAGGCTTTTGTGTGAACATAACCTTTCATTTCTTTGATAAATGTGTAGGAGTACACTTGCTGGATTCTGTGACAGTTGCATGTTTAGATTTGTGTAGTTTTTTTTTTTTTCTTAAAGAAATCAGCAAACTTTTCCCAGAATGGCAGTGCTCTTTTACATTTCTGTTAAGTATTATTTAGGTCCAGTTTCTACAAAGGTGACTCTGACCATTATGGATTGTCCCCTTTCAGAGAGTGGACATGGCAGTTTATTTGGAAAGTAATGGCTGTAGCAAGTCTCAGCCCTGACTGCATTCATGTGCATTGTGATGGACTTGAAGAAAGATTGAGATCTCTCTCACAAAAGTAGAACTGGGGAGAAAAACGCTGTGGTTGAGAATGTGGCATTGCTGTTGAGAAAGTGAAATGGTGATGACTCTGGAAAAAGTGTTTCCTTAAGAAAATGAAACATGGTATCCCTCTTGGAATGCTGCAGTTAGACTTTGGGCAGTTGCAACCCACTGTGTCCACTAAATTTAGCAAAGGGCTCTGCATAACACAGGTTGAGTAGCTCTCATCTGAAAAGCCCGCAGGCATGGCATGCAAAAGGTTTCAGATATCAGAGCATTTAGGAGTAAGGATTTTAGATTAGGGAAACAACCAGAATTTTCAAAACCTTCTGATAAACTGAAATCTGAGACACTTGTGGTCTCAATTATTTAGGATAAGAAACAATATATTCACCACTAACTAAAGTAGAACTTTTATTTTAAAAAAAGGCTGAAGAGAGTTTTAATTATTCATCAGTTGGGAATCATTGTGTTATTTAATCTTGGCCATTTGCAAAGCAGCTTCAGCAGCATATGCTGTACTAAATAAATGAACGTTTCCTACCTCTAATTTCCCTTCTCTTCCCTTGGTCCTAGGTTCCTGTGTTTGTCCACTCTCTGCTATTTAAACCACTGATTTACTTTCCCTTTCCCACTGGCCTTCTTGGCCTCCATCTTGACCCCATCGTTGCCCTCTTTTCATGGATCTCCTTCAAGTTATTGGTTCTAGTTTTCTCTTTTCTCATGGAATTAGAACTTTTTTCTAGGCTTCCTCTTTCCATGTAAAATATGTACTCAGCATCTAGAATACATTTTCCTATTCATATCACCTTATGTTTATCTTACTCTTTGGGCAGATATGAGAGATAAGAGTTTCTGTCACTAATACGTCTCATCTTTTAATGGAGGGGGCTGGAAAACAAGCATTAAAATTTAGAGAAAGAACTTTAAGGTTTGGTGTACTACTCTTTCTTACCAATTTTTTAAGTTTAAATTTATTATTTATTTTTAATTCACAGGGAAGAAGAAGAGCGTCTGAGAAATAAGATTAGAGCTGATCATGAGAAGGCTCTGGAAGAAGCAAAAGAAAAATTAAGCAAGTCAAGAGAGGAAATCCGTGCTGAAATTCAAACAGAGAAAAATAAAGTAGCCCAAGCAATGAAGATAAAAGAGACCAGGGTACTGCCACCTGTCCCTGTTCCACAGCGTGTAGGGGTCAGTGGTGGAGACCCAGAAGACAATGAAATCAGGAAGAAAAGAGAAAAAATTAAAGAGGTAATAAGCTGAGGTTGGTGATATGGAGTGGTTACAGATTTATGTCTGACTGGATATTATGTGGTGTTATACATTGTGTTTGTTCATTAGTGTAGTTGTAATTCAGTTTCCAGGTTGATAGCAAGGATTGGATCTCTGTCGTCCTTTTTTTTTTTTATTGATATAATGTAAGTTTTTGAAAACACATTTGATTCAAGTTTCTTTAGATGGTTATTTTTACCATCACCATGTTAGAGAGCTTTTGAAACACAGGACTTTATAATAGAATGGAGTCTGTGTATAAGTTTATTGAATAAGCAATTTAAAATATTCAGGTTGTGCCGGGCATTGGTGGCACACGTCTTTAATCCCAGCACTCGGGAGGCAGAGGCAGGTGGATCTCTGTGAGTTCGAGGCCAGCCTGGTCTCCAGAGCAAGTGCCAGGATAGGCTCCAAAGCTACACAGAGAAACCCTGTCTCGAAAAACCAAAACCAAACAAAACCAAACCAAAACAAAACAAAACAAAAAAAACCTCAGTTTGAAGGGGATGTACTATATACTGTCATAGACAAGGTTTTAAACAATTTGTGCTGTATTAGCCATGTTTCAAGGAACTGTACTGCTATTAGGACCATGCTCCTTCCGAAGATTCTTAATGGATTGAAGGAAAGAAAAAAATTAATTTCAAAATACTTTAAATTTATTTAGCTTCAAAAGTTTTTCAAGTTGTAGTTCTAGGAATTCCTGATTAAGAGAATACTAGCTCTAGTGAATTTGAATTAAACTATGTTAAGTAGGGCTCCTGATAATTCTGCGTATAGTTTACAGTTGTACTGCTTGAGAAGAAGCGTCATGAGGTGTAAGAGCATCAACAAGAATAAATTTAATTTATAGGAATCTCTGTATATATTCTGATAATAGATACATATTTTAAAAACTTAGTCTGGCAGTTTTTCTCACTGCCATGACATATTTGAGCTTCAAAAGGAAGGAAGGGAGGGAAGAAAGGTGGGTGGGCTTATTTTGACTCACAGTTTGAGGGGACAAACTGAGTCAGGGAAGGTGAGATGGTTAGTCATGTCATATCTGCAGTCAGGAAGCAGGAGAGTAGTAAATCCTGTACTCAGCTGGCTTCCTCCCTCTCTCCCCCCTTTCCCACAGTTTGAACCAAGTGGAAGGGATGGTGCCACTCACTTTCAGCATGGGTCTTTCTTCCTCAGTGAAGCCTCCCTGGAAACACCCTCAAAGACATAGCCAGAGTTGTTACTAAATGGTTCCTTATCCTTTGAACAGGGGCATTTGACATGGCTGATTCTAAGTCCGTAATATGCATTTGTCTCTGTCTCTTTCCTTTTGTTTCTTAGTTTTTTCATTGTTGGGAGAGAGTTAGCCATTATCAGTTTAGGATTAAATTATATTACATAAACCTTGAGATTATATAATGAGGTGATCTCCTTCCTCTTAATGTTTATACTAACATGAATACAAAGGACTTGATTATCCTACTTGATCTATATACCCATCCAGTCACAGTGACTAGAGCAAGAATTGGCAAATTACAACCTGTGGGCTAAATTTCTTTCATTTGCCTGGTTTTAAAAAAATCAATTTTAGTTAGAATACAGACATGGCCATTTGGTTACATATTACGTAGGATTGCTCAACAGTTTCAATCTTCTGGTCTCTGGACTAAAGGTAAGAGAGTGTGTAGTCAGACTGAATTAGTTGGTGGTAGAAGCAAAGTCCCTTGATTGGCAACCTAGTCATTATCACAGTGAAGAAAGAGGAGCTGTTTCCCAAAGCATTAGCAGTTTATAAAAGGAAAGAATGCCAAATAGCTACCTTTCTTCCCCCAAATAACTTTTTGATTACATCTGATTTTTTTGTTGTGTAGATTGAAATTAAATGTAGGTGTTTTAGTTAGGGTTTCTATTGCTGCTACCGAACACCATGACCAAAAAAGCGAGGGGAGGGAAGGGTTTATTTGACTTACATTTCCATGTTGCTTTTCATCATTGAAGGAAGTCATGACGGAAACTCAAACAGGCCAGGAACCTGAAGGCAGGATCTGATGCGGAGGCCATGGAGGAGGGGTGCTACAGGCTTGCTCAGTCTGCTTTCTTATAAAACCCAGGACCACCAGCCCAGGGATGGCACCACCCATCATCTTCCATTAGTTGCTAATTAAGAAAATGCCTTACAGGTGGGGAGGCATTTTCTCACTTGAGGTTCCCTCCTTTCAGATAACTCTCCCTTTGTCAGGTTGGCAAAAGACTAGCCAGCACAGCACAGTAGGTATCTGAAACAAGTGTTAATTGAATAATATGCTAATATAGGAAACATGGCAGAATGGGTAAAGATATAATAACCCAACTCTAAATTATATGAAGTAAAATAGTCTGTGGATAGCTTCAAGTGGTGCATTGTAATTTTTCTCTTCTCAGATGATGAAGCATGCCTGGGATAATTACAGAACATATGGATGGGGACATAATGAGCTCAGACCTATTGCAAGGAAAGGGCATTCCACTAACATATTTGGTAAGGTAACTTATGAATTACTGTTTTTTTTTTTTTTCTTTATCTTTGAAAACAAGATCTAGCTTTCACTCCACTAACATATTTGGTAAAGTAACTTTTTTGAATTACTGGTTTTTTTCTTTATCTTTGAAAACAAGATCTAGCTTTTAAAAGTACTCTCCAAGATCTTTATTCTGTGCAGCTATAATTTGAACTTTTTGTTTTAGTGTGCCAAGATTTAGTTCTTGCACTGGAATACATAGCTTTGTGTTAGATATTCTATTTACTTAGGTACATTTAAGGATTTTGAAGCTTTTTTTCTGCTTGCTTGTTTGTTTGCTTAATGTCATGATATGTAGGTATCTATTTGCAGGGTTTTTTTTTTTTTTTTCCTTCATGATAGTAAGTGCCTTTTGTGATACTCAAAGGAAAAGGGAGAGCAGTTTAGAGATTTCAGTGTGGTATTAGAAGTTTAATAGGCAGCACACCAAAAGTTACTTGATTGGTAATTGAGTGGATGATGCTGTGAATTGATGGTGTGTGTGTGTGTGTGTGTGTGTGTGTGTGTGTGTGTGTGGAGGAAGGGGTTTAAATCGGTCTGAGGAAGAGCGGTACTATTCTTGAGCTTGTTCTTTTTCCTTTTCAGCTCAGTTCACTTGTTAAATGTAACTTGCCCAACTAATTTTGACTAGCATGTTTCATTAAACCCAGGGTTAGTTTTGAGACTTGTCCAAGTTGTCCCTTGGGTCATCACTACTTCCTCTTGTTTTGACTGTTGATGTGTTGGCTATCTTGGTGGTATCTATTAGTCAACACACATGCTGGTCTCATATATTATTCACAGGCAGAGCTGTTTTCTTTATTATTTACGGTATGCCATAGTAATAGTTCAAATAACAGTATTTTTACTTGTTAAGAATTTTTCTAATGGTATATTTCTCAGAATCTCTCTCTCTCTCTCTCTCTCTCTCTCTCTCTCTCTCTCTTTTTGTCAGAAAAAAATGTCTTAAAAGTTAAGTTGTCTTGAGTTTGAAAGTTGTGGAAAGAAAAGATTTCCTTTGGGTGGCTAGTCAGTAGCTACCAGGTTTTTCATAATATATTTTATTTAGCTGATGTCATTTAATGAAATAGAGTATATTTCCTCTCCAAATGCATTACAGATGAAAAGTTCCTGTTGCGTTGTAGATGTCACAAATGACAGTTCTCTAAAAGACATTGTATATTTAATAGTCAGTTAAATTAGGTCAGACTGTGATAGACAGTGAGCTTTAAGGATTTGAAGATAAACATGTATTAAAAATAAGAGTGGATGTGAATTTTCTACATTAAATTAAAAATTGTGTGTGTGTGTGTGTGTGTGTGTGTGTGTGTGTGTGTGTGTGTACGTGTACGTACATACATGAGCTATGGAACTGTGTGGAGAAGCACATCCCTGCTATACTCTCCTGGATGGAGGTCAGTTTTCTTCTTCCACTATGGAGTTCCAGGACTCGGGCTCAGGTTGTCATGTGTGTGTAGCAAGTGCCTTTACTGTTGAGTCTTGTCCCCAGCCCTAACTTTTCACTTTTTGCCAGGTGTGTTGTACAGTTCCTTTCATGTCTTATCATGTACCAAATAGACATTAGTTCTCATCCTGCTTTTAAATATTTTTTATTTTAAATTAAAATTAAGTATACAATTTCCCCCTTTCTTTTCCTGCTCTAACATAATCATTCTTTTAAAAACAGAAAAGTATTTTAGCTCATGGAGAACATACCATATAAGAAGAAAGTTGTAGTAAAGTGGTAGATAAGAGCCCAAGTGCAATCTGTGATTTTCAGTAGTCAAAATTAGGTGTTGATAGAGTTTATTATTTTTTTGTTATTTTCCAGACAAATAATTTGCCAAGGAAAAATAGATCATTTACTATTCTTTGTCTGATATTCATATACAGAAAGTTTATGGAAGGTGTTTTGAACTCCAAAAATTGTTTCTTGTTTCTCTCTGTAATCTTTTTGCACATCTTATTCTTGCTAGTGAATATGATTTGATGAATTTTTTAAAAAAAGTTTTTTACTTTTTTAAAAAATAAAATGCTGAAGATAAGAGTGGTAGTTTAGTGTCTCACCTGTCATCCCAAATTTATTATGATTTTGTAAAAAACAAACAAACAAAAACCAAAACAGTTTTTTTAAATCCATTCTCTGTTACTGTAGGTTTTGTGGACAGGTATTGCACTTTTACTCACAGTCTTGCAGGTTTCAGGGAGTTAAAATAAAGTTTGTCTTTCCTTTAACTTTACTTGTAAATGGTTCTTTTATATGATAAATGAAATCACTGTTCTCCTGGCTTCACTCTAGTTAGTCCTTGCCACCATAGTACTCTGCAGGTAACAGAAAGCCCATTTCAAAATGACTTCAACAAGAGTAGCATTCTGTTATCTCTGGGGTCCTGGTAGAGACTTAATTCAACTCAACCTTTTCCCAACCTCTTCCTTCCGTTTGTTTTGTGGCTTCTTAGCAGGATAGGTAGGCTTCAACATTTGAAGTTTCAAGTCTTCAGACTACTCACTGCATATGTAGAATTGGAGAAGGGTTTGGGTTTCTTAGAAATAAGATTGAAAGAATCATTGGCTTTTGTTGTTGCTAACTGATGGGCAATAGTCATGTGTCTTACCCTCTGTGGGCCTGCTGCTGTGGAGATCAGAAGGAGAAGACTGCTGCTGCTTCGGACATAGTTTAGCACTGATCCTAGTGATCCAGACGTGATTAATAGAACAAATCTTTGGGTTTTCTGAGACAAACTTTTTTTTGCTTATTGCTTGTCTATAACTTACCTCTTGCTTCAGCTTCCCAAGTTCTAGAGTCATAGGTCTGTACCACTGTGGTTGGCCAGCATGGATGCTTTTTATTTGGATATTCTGGAGAATTGTGGAGTTATGTTAGAGAGAGGTCTTTTTGCACTTAAAAAGAGGAATTTTGATTCAGCAAAGACTGACATTGCTGTGCATTATTATTATGAGATCCATCTGCCTCCACCTCCAAGTGCTGCAATTAAAGGCATATGCTATTACTACCCAGGTTGCAGTGCTTTTTAAAGACTGCTTTTGGTGTTCTCTTTCTCTCTCTCTCTCTCTCTCGCTCTCTCTCTCTCTCTCTCTCTCTCTGTGTGTGTGTGTGTGTGTGTGTGTGTGTGTGTGTGTGTGTGTGTAAATATTTTTTTTTTTTTACTTCTGATTTAACTGGGGCTTTGATTTTAGTTATTTTTGTTTTCATATTCATGAGGGATCTTTTGTAGTTTTCTTCCCTCCCTCCCTCCCCCTTTTTGGAGACAGGGTTTTACTATATAGCCTCCTGGCTGGCCTAGACTTCAGCCCGAGCGGTGGGATTAAAAGGTGTGCACCTGACTAAGTTTAAGTACTGTCTTTATTGAGCAACATCCTTGAAGTACAATCCTAGTTATTGATTGAAGATCTCTCTAATGTTAGTATTTAGTGCTGTGCATTTCCTGCTAACTGCTAGATTTAACTTATCCTGAGATTTTTATGTCATATTTTCATTCAATTAAAATATTCAGACCTTAATCTAGAATCCATATGTTGATTTAATTATCTAAAAACTGAACAGTCCACTTAATGTCAAGGGTCCCATGTAGCCTAGTGATTAATTTGGCTATTTCTGTGACACTAGTGGGATCAGATGGTAGTTTTATTTTTCTTAGTGAATTCATATTTTCAAACAGTGGTATATGATATTTATGAAATGAGTTTTAGTTTTTGTTTTATTAACATTGGTATAGAGTTGGAATTGTCAGCCTGAACACTAAAGTAGAATTTATGTTATGAAACTTGTAGAATGTGTGGTACTTTTGTAGTGAGTGGCTCTTGGTATATTTGATCAAATATATTATCAGAAAGATCTCTGCCCTGCTAATCTAAGGTTTTGAAATTTATTGTGAAAATAAAGTAAGACTTAGAATTTTCTTAATTTCCTCTACTCTTTGCATTTTTATTTCCTATTTTGATTTTTTTTTTGTTTCTTTCCTCTGAAAAACTAGGTTAGGAATAGAATTACTATATGGTTGTTTTCATAGAACCATCTTTCAAATTAGTCATTTTGACACTTTGTTTCTAACTTATTTCTGCCTTTAACTTTTCTAGTTCTACTTTGTTGTTCATGTTTGTTGGTACCTTTTCTTTCTCAGTAGTGGTGGAAAGTGAGCAGTGATGTTATTTTTTTGATCATTATAATCTTTGATTTACTTTCAATATGTAAAAAAAACTAAAAATGACCTCATATGAGGGGGATGTTTTTAACAACAGCTATTTCTTTCTTTCTAAATATAGGAAGCTCACAGATGGGTGCCACCATAGTGGATGCTTTGGATACCCTTTATATCATGGGACTTCATGATGAATTCATGGATGGGCAAAGGTGGATTGAAGACAACCTTGATTTCAGTGTGGTATGTATACTTTGGCAATTCATCTAATCTCTTAATTATGAAAGTACAGTTTTAATGTTCTGGTCTGAATATTTGTATCCTCTCACATTCATGTTGAAATCTAGTCACTAATGTGCTAGAACTAGAAAGGGTCTTTGGGAAGTGATCAGTTCATTAGGACAGAGCCATTACGGATATAATTAGTTCCCTTATAACGAAGTTCTCAGAGAATTACTTTGCTCTGTATATGAGAGGTCACATAAGTACCATCATGAACCAGTTGAGTGGCTCTCACTAGTCACTGAATCTGCTGGTGCTGTGGACCTTGGACTTCCCAGATTCCAGGAAGGTGAGGAATAAATTTCCATTAGTTAACAGTTGCATATGGTGTATGCTGCTTGATTATAGCCAGCCTCATGGTTGAAGGTGTCAGTTGTGCTGTGAGCATGTTCTCAGCAGTTTGCTGAACCTATGCTAGGTCATCATTCTTTTGGGATTCTCATTTGTTCTGTTATTTTTGTGTAAATACTCACTGTTCTCGATACCTTTTCATATTTCTTGCAATGATCATTTAAAGCAGTGTCTTAGCTAGTTAAGGACATAATAGCAGGGGGAGAGGCAATGAGGTAAAGTCTTAAAAACTAATAAACTGCTTTATTAATACTTAGTTTATAACATTTATATTAAGAATAACAGACTACATCTGATTAGAGTAAGCAATGGTGGAATATTTCTAACTATTGAAGAATTTCTTATTAATATGACATTTCTGAGAAGATAGCCCAGGGAAGCCATGCACATGTGGCTGAGGATAGAATTAGAGGTTTGAGATTATATCCTCTTGTCTTTAAAAGCATATATGCCTGTTATCTTTGCTTGTTATGCTGTGTTGAAAATGTCCATTAGTCCAGTTGTTCAAAGGTGATCTGTCTTTTCCCCTTGTTTCTCTACTGCATTCTAATTCCATTAGCACGTGAACTGTTCTTCAAACACTCAAAATAAGGATTTGTGTTTTCATCAGCTTTGCAAAATTTGTCATTATTTTACCTATATGCCTCTTCCCTATTTCTTCTGTCTCTCCATTTAGAACTTTTCTTACCTTCTCTCTTAAGTTAGGGAAGAGAAGAATTTTACAAATAATTATATAGCAATAGATGATGTAAACATTACTTGTGCATATAATGTAGGATAAAAGCTTACTAATGGTTGACTTATTTTAAATTCAGTAGCCAGAAAAAAGTTGGATAAGGTGATATTTTATTTTTTTCAGAGACCTGCAAAAAGTGACAGAGTGATTCACATAGTGAGATGAGGGAAAATGGTCAGCTAAGAGAGTATTCAGTATAAAGTGACACTAGGCCTCAAGTTTGCCATTCTGGGAATAGCAAGTAGGCCCATATGACCAAGTCAAATAAAAGAATCTTAAATTAGTGAGATGTCAGAAAAAATGTGAGGGATCTGAACATAATAGATCTTAGTTGGCATTTTACTCAAAGAGTAACAAGAGGCTGTTGGAAGAGGTGTTAGTAGAGACTTAAATGCTACTGCAAGAATCATTATTATTATTAAGTCAAATATTTCCAGTATGTAGCAAAGGGACTTAATAATAATAATGAGCACTGCTTGCAGGGGTAGTTGTGGAATGAAGATGCTACAAGACTAGCATGGAGCACTAACGTGGAGCTCCTCAGTTTCCTATTGGTCCAGTTCTCCTGTGACTCTTGCTCAGCTCTTTGTGGCTACTTGCTGTCCTTCAGGGAGGTTTTTCGAGACAGGGTTTCTCTGTGGCTTTGGAGGCTGTCCTGGAACTAGCTCTTGTAGACCAGGCTGGTCTCAAACTCACAGAGATCTGCCTGCTTCTGCCTCCCAAGTGCTGGGATTAAAGGCGTGCGCCACCAATGCCTGGCTCTTATCTATTGCTATTTATTGTAAAAACTTTTTGCTATATTTATGTGTATGCATACTGCAGTGTGCAAATAGAGATTATTGGATAGCTTGTGTGAGTCTGTTCTCTACTTCCACCATGAATTCTATGAAACTGTATATTACATATGTAAATATTTGTGATAAATTTGCTTCAATTTGTTTGCCTTTTGGTTTTGTTTGTAATCTTTCTTGTAGGTAATTTGCATATTAGGGAACTATAAAATTCTTAATTTATTTATTACAAAATTTTGATTTTATTCTTACACATTATCTGCTTTATTAAGTTTGCAAATTATCATATTTTCTTCTACTTCTGTATTTTACTTTTTAAATTTCTAGCCATCCATTTTTCATTTTGATGTATGTGTGCTGTGCACATCAACATTGATTTCTGACATAGGAGTTGGTTTTCAGGAGTATTAGTTCATTAACCATAATTCTCTTGTGTTTTGGCATCTCCTTTAATAATTACAATAATTATTAGGTACCAGCAAAATATTTAATATTAATGAGAAGAGATAGAAATAGAGTTTATGCTACAATAATTAAAATAAAAATAATGGAGTCATTAGAGAAGTTTTTTTTTTTCCTTAGGACTTGAGATCCATTATTCAGGAAATGGAGGCCTTTACAAGTCAACAGTAGTCAACGGTAGTGAATACTGCAATGATCCCAGGATTGTGTCGGGTACATCAGTATGGTCCCTTGATTTTGGCAGTCAGGAAGCTGTGGTGATAGTAATAGAGGAACAGTAGTGAACTAACAAATAGAAGATGAGGTTTCATGGTATGAGGAATGAAAATGCACAATCTTAAAACACATTCTGTTTGTGAGAAACAATTGAAATACTAAAAACACTTGGAACTGTAATGTATTTTGTGTATGTGAGTGTTTTCACTTTGTCTCTACAGAATTCAGAGGTGTCTGTGTTTGAAGTTAACATTCGATTTATTGGAGGCCTCCTTGCAGCATATTACCTGTCAGGAGAGGAGGTGAGTAGTCAAGTAATATCTTGTTTGTTTGCTTAAGAAGGTCAGAGAAAGGATAGGCAGGGCTAGTGGCCAGAGAGAATAAATAGGAAGAGAAATCTAGGCTAACAAAGAAAAAGGCAGAAAGAAGGACGAAGCCAGGCAGTGGTGGCACATGCCTTTTAATTCCAGCACTTGGGAGGCACAGGTCAGCAGATCTCTGTGAGTTCAAGGCCAGCCTGGTCTACAGAGTGAGTTCCAGGACAGCTAAGACAGAGAAACCCTGACTTGAAAAACCATTTAAAAAAAAAGGGGGGGGGGTGGTCATGAAGGGCAGTAAAATGAAACACTTTCCTAATAGCATATTGTTTTTTCTAATTTGAATATTTCTAAATTTAAGATTTTCCTTAAATACAAATTTTAGATTCCTCTTGCCTAATTTTTACAGAATTAAAGTTTTGGTTGAGTTTTATAAGCTTAGAGAGTTGGAAGAATAGTTTGGCTCTTTGGATTTATGAGCACTTTGTTTTCATTTTAGAATTTTATTTAGGTGTTTGAAAAATACTTTGTATGAGTGTCATGTCCATATGTATTTCTGTGTACCTTGTACCTGCCTGTTGCCTGTGGAGGCCATAAGGGCATTAGATCCCCTGGACCTGGGTGGACAGTAGTGAGCTGCCATGTAGGTGCTGGGAGTTGAACCCAGCTCTTCTGGAAGAACAGCCAATTCTCTTAACCACTGAGCCATCTCTCTAGTCCCTATTTATGATCTTAAAGGGTCTTAGGTGTGGTATTTCCTTACGGAACATTTTTATTATACAGGACACCTTGCGGGAGTCTGTTCTCTATTTCCACCAGGAGCCTTTTCTAGTTTTGCTAATTAATTCTGGTAGCTGTAAATTGAATAAATTCTCAGATGTTCTGTTCTGTTCTGTTCTGTTTTGTTTTGAGACAGGGTTTCTGTGTAGCTTTGGAGCCTGTCCTGGCACTCATTCTGTAGACCAGGCTGGCCTTGAACTCACAGAGATCCGACTGCCTCTGCCTTTTGAATACTGGGATTAAAGGCATGTGCCACCACCACCCAGTTTTAGGGATGTTCTTTGTGAAAAGTAATATTATTAGTAAAAAGGGTTGTCTTATTTTTCTCTATAGAGAAGAGTTTTCTTTTTCTTGCCTTAATGCTTTGTCTATTATAAAATTTAATAGGAATTGTCAGAGTTGGGATGCTTGCCTGGCTCTTGGTCTCGGTGGACCGGGGGTGGGGGGGGAAGCATTTGGTTTTACACTATTAAACATAGTGTTAGCTATATTATGGTCATCATCATCATTTATTATTATTTTGGTAGATACCCTTTATCAGTTTGATTATGTTTTCTCAAATTCTTAGTTTGCTGGATTTCCCCCCCATGAATGGATTTTTTTTTAACTTTTTTTTATTAATTTATTTTTTACATTCCAATCCCAGTTCCCCCTCCCTCCTCTCCTCCAATCACCCCTCTCCCCCCCCTTCCATCTGTTCCTCACAGAGGGTAAGGCCTCCCTTAGGAAGTCTGCTAAGTCCATTCTATCATCTCATTGAGGCAAGACCAACACACCTCTCCACCCCCCACATCCCTGTGTCTAGGCTGAGCAAGGTATCTCTCCATATAGAATGGGCTCCACTAAGTCAGTTTGTGTTTTAGAGTTAGATCTTGGACCCACTGCCGGTGGCCTCATGTATTGTCCCAGCTGCACCATTGTCGCCTATATTTAGGGAATCTAGTTCAATCTTATGCAGCTTCCCCATTTGTCAGACCGAGTCAGTGATGTCTTACTAGCTTGGGTCAGCTGGTTCTGTGTTTCCCCATTATGGTCTTGACTCCTTTGTTCATATTATCACTCCTCCTTCACTTCCATTGTACTCCAGGAGCTCAGCCCAATGTTTAATTGTGAATTTCCGCATCTGCTTCCATCTGTTTCTGGAAGAGGGTTCTAGCTTCTCTGGGGTTGTGGTTTGTAGGCTGGTTATCTTTTGCTTTATGCCTGGTATCCACTTATCAGTGAGTACATACTATATTTGTCTTTCTGGGTCTGGGTTACCTCACAAAGGGTGTTTTTTTTTTTTTTCTAGTTCTGTCCATTTGCCTGCAAATTTTAGGGTGTCATTGTTTCTTACTGCTGAGTAGTACTCCATTGTGTAAATGTACCACATTTTCTTTATCTGTTATTCAGTTGAGGGGCATCTGGGTTGCTTCCAAGATCTGACTATTATAAATAATGTTGCTATGAACATAGTTGAGCAGATGTCCTTGTGGTGTGAATGTGTCTCCTTTGAGTATATGCCCCAAAGTGATATTGCAGGGTCTTGAGATAGGTTGATCCCTAATTTACTGAGTTTGTCAAAAATCAGGTGTTTGTAGGTGTGTGGATTAATATCAGTGTTTTCAATTGGATTCCATTGGTCTACCTGTCTGTTTTTAATGCCAATATACCAAGCTGTTTTCATTATTACAATTCTATAGTAGAGCTTGAAGTCAGGGATGGTGATGCCCCCAGATGATCCTTTATTGTACAGGGTTGTTTTGGTTATCCTGGGTTTTTTGGTTTTTTTTTTCACATCAATTTGAGTATTGTTTTTTATGAATGCATGTTTTGATGTCAAATTATTTTGGAATGCAATAAGATGATTGTGTTTCTTAATTTTAAAAATTACATCTATTTATTTATTTAGAGAGAGAGCACTTAGGATAGTTGGGAGGAGATCTGTTCTTTCCTTCTACCTTGTGGGTCTTGGGGATTGAAGTCAGGTAATTACCCTGGTGGCAAACACTCTTATCCCCATGTGTACATGTGGAGGACTGAAGTTAGTGTTGAGTGTCATCTTGCTTTCTTTCTAGCTTATATATTGAGGTGGGATCTCTCACTTGAGCTCAGAACATGTAGAATTGGGAATTCTATATACTCATTGGTAGAATAGGTAGGCTGTCATGCCCACCTTGCTTTTTAAGTGGTTTCTGAGAATCCAAACTCCAGCTTTCACACTTATACAACACATGTTTTATCCCCTGAGCTGACTCCCAGCCCTCATTTTTTAATACTTTGTTTTTATCAGTTTGTGTATTTTGTGTAAACTTAATTCATTTTCTTAAAAGGTAGAATTTCCTTCTGAGGCAACTGAAGCTTTGATTCTCCCTACCCTCACATTTTATAACAATATATTCAATTAGATATAACATGGTTGAAAATGAAATGTGTTTTGTGTTTGCACAGAGCAGCATATGACTCTATGTACTTCTACAGTGATACCCCATCAGACATGCCTAGGTATTGGTCTTATTTCATTGCTGGAAAATTGGCAGTTAGTGAGTAGAGCAGCTTAAGGAGGTTGCTTTAGACACTGTTGTGAGGAGGAAGCTTTGGGTCAAGTAGAAAGGTGGGCAGAATATCCAAGGTTGGGCATTCTGTTTTTCATCTTTCTGGGGGAAATCTAGTCCCCAAAAGCTTTCTGAAGAAGGCAGCACTTCTTGACTTGGGAAGGAGAAGAATCCAGACATCCTGGTTGGATATAGGCTGAAACAGAGGATAGGATTGAGCAGCAAAAATTGTGGACTCAATCCAGAAGACTGAAAAATATTTGGTGATCTAAGGGGCACTAAGAGCTATAAACTCCAACCTTTTCTAATTCTGACTAAAAATTCTTTGCAAGATTAAAATGGAAGTCTAGATTTATAACCTGACTTTGCTCCAGGGCTCAGAGAGAAAGCACCAAATAGTAGTCCCTCTGGTAGTCAAAGGGAAAGCTAGAGTCACAGACCAAGAGATCCATAGTTAACCACGCTCATGCCATTCTTGAAGCCCTGTGTCAAGGTCATGGTATAGAATGAAGCTGTGACTAAAATATAGAGTTTTGCAAGCTCAACTTGATAAAATTTATATCACTGTTTTTCTGTTCTTTTTCCTATGGAACTTTTCCCAGTCTGTTTCAAGGTGAAGGACAGGGCAGGAAGAATCAGAGAGAATGCTGAGGGCAGTAAGTGGGGATGCAGATGAGACTGGATCTAGCTGCCCACCCTCACTTATTCTATAAAAAGAGCTCTCATCCTCTCCTTTTGCTGGACATACGGACCATAGGGTGAAGGCCAGGCAGAAGCAAAAGGAAGAAACAGCACAGCTGTTTCCTGCTTAACCTTTTCCAACAAAGAACAAGGAAGGTGATAAGACTGTAGGAAGAGGACAGCATGGGCATGTGAACTAATCAAAGAGGAAGAGGCTGTCTCTCGTCCTACATACAAATCTGTGGTGAACTTTATGCGAAGGCACGAGAAAGAAAAAATGGGAAACATAGTGGGATGTGGGGAGGGCACCCACAGCTGTGAGAGTTTTAAGGATCCTCTGTGAGTGTCTCTTGGGAACTGGATGAGAAATCATGGCTTATGTGTGGAGTTAATAGCTAGGAAAGTAAGGCCTTCACTGAAGAAGGTAGCTACTTTTTGTGATATTTGGCTGCTTGATTATAGTAGCTAAGATTTTACAGCATAGGACTACCCCTCTAGTGCCACTTTTGGGGATTTTCTCCATGAATCTCCTTTCATCTATACTTTTATGTACAACCAAGAAGAGCCCTTATGTGTTTGCTGCAGAGCTTGCTTAGCTACATTTTTCTGTAGCATTTGATCCAGTAAAGTGCAGATGCAGTATAGACTGAGCCATCAGCATCAGCTTGTTTTCATGGGAGTTTCTAGACACAGGGAAATAGAGATCCATGGTGCCTTGTTTTTTTTTTTTTTAGACTTATAAAAATAATTATGTTTGTGTGTCTGTGTGTGGGTATGTGCACATATGCTGGTGCCCATGTTGGATTCCAATATGCTCCATCTCTGCAGCCCTTCTGCCCTTTTCATACAACTGTTAAGATTTTTGTATTTGTCTCACCAGATTTTTTTATTTATTATTTTTCATTTTACATACCAACCCCAGTTCCCTCTCCTTCCTTTTTTCCTGGCCCCACTTCCCACTCCCTATCCACTCCTCATAGAGGGTAAGGC